TTGTTAGCCATGTACTCCTCGAGCTAATTCTTGTGGTGCAGTTTTATGAACGTTATGAGATGAGTATGGGTGAGGTAGTGCTCGTTGTCTCGGACATCATTCATGAAGTCATGCATCGACGAAGCAAATGGAATGCATTCTGTCTTCCTTGGCCACCCAGCGATGCATGCTTAGCATTGCGGCGAGTGGTCATGATCTTCTCCCTGTTCTTCAGCCATCCTCTCCATGTACTCCAATCAATTCCATTGGCCCTGGCGTATGATCGAGACGACACGACGCTTGGGTCGAACATGTCCAAGTACTTGCGGCGATCCGTGATTGAGTACCTCGTGTACTGCCCCATGCTCGTGCGCGAAGACGTTCGCACTAGCGGCAAATTTGAATCTTTGTATGCGGGATATTATTTTGTGATTCCAAAGTGTATACATTTTCATATATATTGCATACCAATTTTAAAAATTCTCGCCCCACTTACGTTCTTTGAGGAATCAAGCGCAGAAAAAGTCGCCTTACTAACTGGCATAGACTGGGGATTCGGGGAGGAATCGAACCCGGGGCACAGCGGTGACACCCAACTCCATTATCGGCTAGGCCAAAGTGGATCCCTTACAAAAGATAGTTTGAAATCAATCTGTATCGGATGAATTGGGCTGGATGAATGTGTATAGGAAATTAGGCAAGGTCCCTTGAAAGAGATTTGCACTCAAGTGCCGTCGTGATTAGAAAATCCAAGGCTATATCTCATGTAGAACGTGTATCATATCATGTCCTTCGTCGTGTTAAAAAATGTCACCCATTGGCTAAAATATTGGGATTTTGCACTAGTGTTCAGAATGCCATGTCCATATTATTATTCCAGAAACATGAACGAGTACCACTGGGTGAATGTTTCCGTCGTTACCGGTATATCAATGATGCACAAGGAAAGCTTCAAAAGTTGCAAAATCGCTAGCTTCAGATTGATGTACTTAGCTCAGATGAAATGTCCTAGACTGAAGAGAATGGAGAAGAGAGTGAAGATGATGTTGAAGGTTGAAATGGAAATACGCAAACACGCACATGATGTCGCTTCCAACAATTTATGAATGCCACACCTATTAAGAAATGGAGTTTGTGCATACTAACAGTGAGCGAAGGCATCCAACCTTCCTGGCTCAGCTCGCTGCCTTCCCCACATCAAATTTTGACGAAATTTGGTCTGTAGGTTTAAGAGGTCATTTCAAGTTTAATTATATAAATAGATAGCCTCTGAACATTTAAGAACAAGCACATTTTATCCAAAACTCTCCAATTTTAATGTATTCTATACCTTTTCAAACAATAACCTTCTAAGTTTAATAGTGACAGATGAATTTCGTAGAAAATACGTTAAAGACCATAAAGCGCTAAATCGTTTAACTAGGTTTTGGTCCATTTCACATCCTCTCGTTGA